CCTCCTCCCCGCTTCTCCCCCGAGCGCAGGCACAGTGGAGAACTACCGCAACGCCGCCCAGTCGCCTGGGGACAAGTACGGAGGGGGCGGGGCAGGGCAGAAGAGGGGGGCGGCAGGGAGCGGCTGGGAGGGCGGTGGAGCGGAGGGGAGGTGCTGGGGGAGAGGGCGTCTCGATACTGTGGGCGAAAGTTCCTGATCAGTTTCTGTTGAACGGTGTGCTTCCCAGCTCCGAAGCTTTCCTACAGCACGAATTGAATAGAGAAACCAACACCGCCTCTCAAACAAATGAAGAGTCCAAGTAGTTTGTTGGTCGCAGCTTTGGTAGCAGACCGATCTCGAGAGGGGGATGGGAAGCCGTGCCTGTCCTGTGCGGGGGGGGGGGGAGGGGGGGGCGTCCCCCTGCCCTCGGCGTGGGGGTGCCCGAGCAATTGGAGGGGCGCGGCTCAGCGTGGTCCAGAGGCCCGCGCGGCAGCGCCGAGGGTGGCTGCTCGGAGCCGCCAAGGCGGCAGCACCAGGGTCGACGCCCAAGAGGCGCGGGCGCCCCCCTTCGACCGCCACAGGCGGGAACGCAGCCAGCGAGCCTCAACGCGTGTCCTTCTACAAGCGTCTCGAGCACGCGAAGTGCTGGACAAGCACCACGGCAACGGTATGGCGCAGAGAGATGGATGGAAATGCAGTGCGTGAGGTAGCAGCAACATTTCCTCTGACAAGCAGTGCTGAAACCGTCGTTGCCACATGACGATGAAGCCTCATGATGAGAAATCACGTGCAGTAGGAGGGAGGAGCAGACCAAGGTGAATGACATATTGAAGCAGATGATCTCCCAGATCATCTTTTGCAACGTGAAAACGCAGAATGGCACTCTAGTTTCCAAAGGCCTCCAGCTATTCGTGATATCCCAGGAATGACGGCAGAGGTACTTTCAATACTGCCCATTATTCGGGATGTGGTGGTCAAAGGCCCGATTGCGCAAACATGCGCACGTGAACATGAAAAGGAATTCGCGTTTTTGCCATATGAAGTGGCAGCTGCAGATTGGAGCTCTGCAGGAAAAGGATGCGAGGGCAGGGATTGCGCCGGAGCAGGAGGTTATTAGTCTGATCCAGAAAAAGGTATTGATCATGCGGGCAGACCTGCTGCTTCATGCGCAGACATTGTACTATTGCAGGACCTGCTTCGGGAAGTTGTGCGCGCTGACTCTTCACCAAATAGTATTATTGAATTTGGTCATTATAGGCAATGTGTCTTTTTGATTGCAACGGGTGCGGGTGCATCCCAGCGACGAGGCGAAACTTCGGATGCGGAAGTACCTCCTCTGCCACCGCCGCCGCCGCCGCCGCCGTCGGGACCGGCACTGCCGTTCCTGAGGGCGTCGGAACCAAAACATCGCCCCCGTGACTCATCCCTCAACCCCCCACCCCCCCGGCCGGATTTCTTTTCTTCTATCCGCGGGGGGTCAACCTTCGCGGCAACCCGTTAAACCCGGGACCCCTGGCGGCGCATGGATTTCTTTCCTTCTTCCCCGCGCGCGTTGCCGTTGGAACCCCTGAACCCCTCCGACTACCGTACAACTCGTACTAATACAAATCCCTAGTGCAACCGCGATTAAGGTGTTGTTGCATTGCACTTACAGTCTCGGCTCTCACGCTTTTCTTCCTCTGGTTGCGCTTGGGGGGGTGGGACCCCTCGCGCGGGCACCCCCGCGGCTGGGAGTTCATTCCTCTTCCGGAATTTGAGGGGGGGGTAACCCCCGTGCTCGAACCCCATCGCCAGGGTTTTTTTCTTTCCTCCGCGGAAACCGGACCCCCTGGGTTCTTCGGCGCGCCCCATTTTTTTTTTCTTTCCGGTTGGGCCTCCATGGGTCTTAGGTTGGAGCCACCCGGGTGATACCAAAACCACCTACAGTGCCACCTGGCTCGGCTAGTTACCCGAAGACCCAAATTGCCAGACCGAGGACCAGTGTACACCCTCCGATGATCCAGCCAGCGACCGCAAAGAGGCCATCTGCACCGGGTTCCTTGCCTACGCCACACACTCCCGATTCAGTGGCAGCTGTGAGCGAAATTCCGGATCGAGACGGTCGCATAGAGGCCAGTTCGGTAAAAAGCGTCTTCGGTTGCGAGTCCTACGTCGACGCACGTTCACCGATGCCAAAAGCCACGCCGAAACAGAGCATGCTTGGAACATTAGAGGCCAAGCGCGCATTGGAGAGACAAGCACAAGCAGTATATCTTTGATTCCGCGCGCCGGAAGAAGGCACGGGCCCGCGTCACAAAGCAAAGGCACCCCACCTCGAGGAGCAGGCGCAGCAGTGCATAGTCACGCGCCAGGAGGCAGAGAGAAGGAGTCACCAGAAACTGCTCGAGGTTGAGTTCCAGCTCCGCCAGAGGGCCGACATGCAAGCGCGACTTGAGGTGGAACATCAAGAGGGTGCTCGTCAGCATGAATACGAGAAAGCACGCTTTACACACGCGATCGCAGCCCGATGCCTGTTAGGAATACTTCGAACGTCAACGAGATCATCCAGCAGTTGCAGCTGGCGCATAAGGAGCATCCCAATTATGATGTCCAGTCCTCTGGTGATCTTGTGGAAGCAATACTAACAGCAGGAGACGCAAGAAGTAGTAATGCTAGCAAAATGTGCAGTTCGAGTGGCGGAGGCGTCAGCCCATCAAGAGAGGCAGTGCAGGGCAGCAGGCGCACGTCATCGTGAACTTACAATCCGACAGGCCCGACTTGCCGCCGACGTGGATCTGGAAGTGCAGCGCCGACGCGACAAATGATTTGATACCCGAATTCCGAGCCCCACAGGTACATGATCAGATAACAGTGATATGGTGCCAGCAGATCAGGTGGAACCTCAAACGGGCCCGCGCGCGCCGAGTGACGACGCGGGCGCGAAGGGGCCCGGCGCGCTCTGGCCAGCTATGGTGGCGATGGAGGCGCAGGAGGCGAAGGTCGCAGAAGAGTTCGAGCGGCGGAGAAATGCGCGAGCAGCTGGCGACGTTGCGTCGCCCCCCGCAAGCGAGGCAGCAGCGGCAGCTCAAATGCCGCGGGCCCCTGCTTCTGCAGAAAACGCATGAGAAGTTCGAACTCGACTTCATCAGGAAATCGAAACGTGGAACCTTTTCTCGCGCGATGCTGCAGAACAGTTCCTCGAGAGCTCAAGGTCGCGAGCTGCTGCTGCTGCTGCAGGCGGGGGCCCGAGTCGCGCCCGCGCGCCGCCGTCGTCGAGAGCGAGTTCGGAGTGTCACGGGCAGTCTCTTTATGCGGCAGCGTTTGGAGAAAGGGTAGGTTTACCAAGAATGTCAGAGGTCATTGGCCATTGCCGCTGATGCGCCCCCTGGTGGTGAGCGCGGGGCCCCTGCCCCAGGCACCAACGCCCCAGGCGCTGAGGGTTTCTCGCGGGGGGGCGCCGAGAGGACGATCCGCGGCACCCAGGAGAAGTTCGCTTGTGACCAGGAGGGCCAGTGGGCCTGCGCGGGCCTCTGAAGGCTCGAGCTCGAGCATGGCGAACATTGAGCGGGCGCGTTCTTTTTGCAATTCCTCCAACTCGTTGGCCATGCCAGCGCGTTGCGGATGCTGCGGCCCCGGGCCCGCCGCAGATGAGACGGCGATTTGCGGGCGCTACAGAGCTTCCGGTTTGGCAGGCTTCCAGGAACAATTTCGTAGAGAGGCGCGGGCAGAGTTGGACGTGATCAGCGCAGGCGAGGAGGTCGAGTCAGATGAGCAGGGCGCACTAGTCATCGCAAGATGATTCTGCGCTGCGCGCGGAGACGAGGGCCCGCGATAGCCCCGGCGCTGCCGGGGCCTCACCGGCGCAATCAGAAGCAGTTGATCAGCGGGCGGCGGCGCAGGAGGTGCTGGACGTTCAGGGCGACGGCCAAGATGGAGTGGCACCGCGGCACCACGCGTCGTCGGCGGCGAAAACGGCGGGGGGGAGGCGGCAGCGCGGGGGCCCATCTAGTTCGGGGCGGCGCCGCAGGTTCTGGCTCTCGCGCGGGGGGCGACGCGGGCGCGCCCAGCCGGCGCCTTGCTCGCGAGCGCGCCTGCGCCAAGGCGACGACGGTCGATTGCGGCCCATCAGGGAACAAGGGGGGGCGCGTCTAGGGGGGTAGGCCTTCGACGAACTGGGCTTCCCGGGAAGGGTGGCCCGCCGACCCGCGGGCCCCGGGGACTTGGCGAGCGCGCGGATGACCTTGCCCCCGGTGCCCCTCGTCGCATCTGAAGCGGTCAAGCGCTGGAGATATTTGACGGGGGCTCTTCGCCAAGTCACGTCGCTGCTCGGGCCCCGGCATCGGGCCAGACGCCGCGCTTGTTGGCGGGCGCCAGGGGGGGCGCGGTGGAGGTGGTTGCCGACGGCGAAGACGACGAGTACGCGTTGCAAGATCTTGCCGAAAAGATTTGGAGGGTCGAGAGGCTGTGGACCCCCCGCAGCAGCCCCCGTTGACTTCGAGTCTGACGGGTCGGGTCAATTCGACGCCAGCAATGAATTTGGTGGGCTGTTCTGACCACGTCCGAAAATGGCTCCTGGCCTGCTTCGCCTCGAGCTCTCAACGGCGTTATTGCTGTGAGTCCAACTTTAGCTGGCCATGTTCCTGGCTCTTCTGCGAGTGCAAGCGATGTTCAGTGCTCTCAGATGGAGGCACCTACCCCCGTCAACGTCGGGTATCGCCACAGTCCTTGGCATGTCCGACTGCGGCGCAATTTGTGCGACTTGGAGCTTCGCGCTCACGCTGCGACGACAATCGATGCTTGGCGCGCGCTTGGATTGTCGCGAGATGGTTCGTGCTCGCCGAATTTCAAGGAGGACTCGGCATGGGCGGCCATGGCGCTGGCCTTCCATGGCAACGGCTGCATCTTTGGCGGGCACTTCTCAGGGCTCGCCACCGAGACGGCGTCTTTCGACGCCGCCCCTTTCCGACTTGAACGCCGAGGTGGCGGGGGACTGATCTGGGGAATGCTCTACCGTTTACGAGCCCCAGCTGACGTGCGTCGAGGTCACGTCCGACTGCCAGCCTGCGTCGGACATGTTCGCGCAGGGGGCAGCTAGCGCCGACCCCGCTGCCAACTTGATGGTCCACGCGATGCGCGCTGCCATGGAGGAGCTAATCACAACGCTCTCGCGCGCCAATGGCAGCGCAGGTAACCCCCGGGGCGATTGCAGTGACGAGATAGCGAAGACGGCGAGGAAGATGCCACCAGCATCAACGCCAGCGAGCGCAGTTTGCCTGTTGCGATCATCAGATTATTGGCCGCTGCCCCACTGCCGTGACGTCCTTCGTGCTGATCGCGAAGCGTATCCGTTGGACACGGGTGGCGGGCTTGGGTTTTCGTGGGCAAGACAAATGATGGATGTCAACGACGTGGAGAAGTCTACGCGATCCAGAAATTTTGATCACACATTAACAGGTGGCCACTGCTGTAAATAATCATCACGATCGGCTTGAGCAGGGCGTTGCCGAACATGTTGGAGCGTTTCAACTTCGGGCCCGCGCAATGCGATTTCTGGTAAAGGAGCTAGCAGTACACCTCGTTGGCTGTCAGGAAGCTCCTTGCTTCCGTGCTAGCCCTAAACGGATGGTGTCTGTTTCCTCCAATTGGTGGAGGTGGAAATCATCGTGTCTCGGCCTGCTCCTCGATGGCCAACGTCGGGCTTCCGCGCGCAGAGAAGCTGGGTGGGCGCGCGCACTTCCGTCGGGGCTATCTGCGCACCCTTAATCGTGATCTTCGCGTTTTGCTGGTGAAGCATACCACGCCATGTTTCGGCGAGTTGGCCAGGTTTTACATGCGCCCGGCGAATGGCGCCCGACTTTGGACGCCAGCATTCGGCGGCAAGCAATATCACGAGTGGGACGGGAATGACCAACAATTGTGTTGGGCGACGTGGGACCATCGGAGCCGCATGCGGGGCTGTCAATGGCAGTGGCCTCCTTGGCCCTTGCCATCCAGGCGCGTTAGAAGTTGACAACGCCACAGGCATGCTTTGGGGGCGATTTGCGAACGAGAGCAGTACATGTTTCAGAGTGCCTAGATCAGAGTGGCGACGCACCGCGCGCTTGTGAGCGACCAAAATCGGAGAAGCGGAATTTCTACATCGGTTTGGAGAGGAACGACGAAGCGATCTCATGTGTTGTGGGCGTAGCTACTCAGGCACAGTCGACCGCTACCCTGTCGTGTCTGGCTTTGATTGAGTTTACGGTGGTGAAAGCTCGTTCGGCAGAGTCTTCCACGCAGCTGACCCTTCAGAAATGTAGCAAGCAGGAGGCGAAGGCGAAGTTCGAGGCCATCCTAGAGCCGGCGCGGCCACCCAGCGGGACAGTGGACGGTGCTCGAAGGCCACGGACGAGCCCATGCGTAAGGCAGCGCGGACATGCTTCCAAAAAGACCGACTTACATCTGCCAAGACACATTTCGCACATTGTTCAATGACGTCAGTACGAATCATGATATACATATATATATATATATGTTGCTGGGGCCCGAAGATGGTTCCCGCATCGCACGTTGCCGAATGCTTTTCGGTTGGACATTTTGCCGCGCGCGAACGACCGTCCATCCGAGGGCGCGGGGAAGTCATGGAAGACACAAGCGGAGCGACTGAGGAGCTAGTGTTGGTTATGGAGCAGCAAGGTTGGCAACGATGATACCTTTCAAACTGAGCTGATCATGCTTTTTCGAAGTGTCAAGTGGATCGTGCGAAGGAGCGCGAGAGCGGATAGGCATGCTGTTTCGTCGGCCGCCTATCAGAGGAGCTCATGAAGTTGCCGCAGCGGGCGGCCGTCATCGATAATTTTGCCGGATAACGGCTGGCGAACTGCGCAAAATTTCGTTTCTCGTCGGCCCAGTGGGTGTGCTTGAGGATGACCTGCAGACGGCCCAGCTGGAATAGGATCATTTCGCCGATGCTGATGATGCAGGGGTCTTCGCGGAGCATGAGTTACAGGGATACTACAACGGCGACCTGCATCGCGATCTTGTGGTTGTCAAAGATTTCCCGGCCCTCGTCGGTTCCTGATTTGGCCAGGATGACAGCTCTGTTCAGCTTGGCCAAAAGGAAGAAAGCAGCGGGCAAGGGCAATACATCGGCGCTACGAAAGTTTTGGCCCATTTTTTGTTTTCAGCTCAACAACGCCTGAGCATCGCATTGGTTATGAACACGACGGCCGTGAGCATCACTCCAAAGCCTGAGAGCACCACAGAACCTATGAGCAGCCGAGCGCCGGTAATCACCTTGACGCTAGCACCCCCGTGGCGGGAGTGCCATTTCGAGTTCGAACGGAACAAATGCCGAACCTCATTTTGCAGGAAGTCCTGTGCGGGGGCGCCATTTCGAAATCGAGGCAGAAAGGTTTCGATTTCTATGTTTGAGGAAGTCCTGTGCGGGAGCGCCATTTCGAAATCGAAGCAGAAAGGTTTCGAATTCTATGTTTGCGGAAGTCCTAGGCGGGAGCGCCATTTCGAAATCGAACCCGAAAGTTTCGAAATCGTTCGAATTTGTTTTTTGGTTTCCGAGGAAGTATCAAGCGAAACCGCCGTTTCGAAATGGCCACACCGTTTGGCATTTAAAATTTTAAAAGGGGTGACCCGAAAACTCGAAAATGCAGCTTTCGCATCGGAGTTCCCCCCCAAAACGAGCTCGACTGGATTTCGAAACCCTCGGGCTCGATTTCGAAGCGTGGCTTTCGCCTATGACTTCCCCCAAAACAAGCTCGACTGGATTTCGAAACCGGCGGGCTCGATTTCGAAAGGGCGGCGCCGCCCGAGACTGGAGCGAAAAATGCTTCAACCGAACATTGTACTGGGGCCCCGCGGCCTAACGGGCCCACTGCCAACGTTGTACTGGGGCCCCGACTTTCGTAGCGGCGAAGTGGGACTTCAAACTTCAACACTTCATGTCAGTCGTGTAAGATGCCCATGGAACTTCAAAATTCAAAACTTCATGTCAGTCGTGTAAGATGCCCAGTTGAACTTCAAACTTTAAAACTTCATGTCAGTCTTGTAAGATGCCACTTCAGATTTCCCAAAAACATGTCAGTCGTGTAAGATGTCCAGTGGAACGTCAAACTTCAAAACTTCATGTCAGTCGTGTAAGATGCCCAGTGGAACTTCAAACTTCAAAACTTCATGTCATGTCAGTCGTGTAAGATGCCCATGGAATTTCGAACTTCAAATCTTCATGCCAGTCGTGTAAGATGCCCATAGAATTTCAAACTTCAAAACTTCATGTCAGTGGTGCAAGATGCCACTTCAAACTTCAAACTACCATGCCAGTCGTGTAAGAAGCCCCAGGGAACTTCGAACTTCAAAACTTCATGTTAGTCGTGTAAGATGCCCAGTTGAACTTCAAACTTCAAAACTTCATGTCAGTCATGTAAGATGCCCATCGGCGCTACGAAAGTTTTGACCCGTTTTGTTTTTTTCAGCTAAACAATGCCTGAGCATCACATTGGTTATGAACACCACGACAGCCGTGAGCATCACTCCAAGGCCTGAGAGCACCACAGAACCTATGAGCAGCCGAGCGCCGGTAATCATCTTGACGCTAGCACCCCCGTGGCGGGAGCGCCATTTCGAGTTCGAACGGAACAAATGCCGAACCTCATTTTGCAGGAAGTCCTGTGCGGGGGCGCCATTTCGAAATCGAGGCAGAAAGGTTTCGATTTCTATGTTTGAGGAAGTCCTGTGCGGGAGCGCCATTTCGAAATCGAAGCAGAAAGGTTTCGAGTTCTATGTTTGCGGAAGTCCTAGGCGGGAGCGCCATTTCGAAATCGAACCCGAAAGTTTCGAAATCGTTCGAATTCGTTTTTTTGTCGAGGAAGTATCAAGCGAAACCGCCGTTTCGAAATGGCCACACCGTTTGGCATTTAAGATTTTAAAAGCTCTGACCCGAAAACTCGAAAATGCAGCTTTCGCATCGGACTTCCCCCCCAAAAAGAGCTCGACTGGATTTCGAAACCCTCGGGCTCGATTTCGAAGTGTGGCTTTCGCATAGGACTTCCCCCCCAAAACGAGCTCGACTGGATTTCGAAACCCGCGGGCTCGATTTCGAAAGGGCGGTGCCGCCCGAGACTGGAGCGAAAAATGCTTCAACCGAACATTGTACTGGGGCCCCGCGGCCTAACGGGCCCACTGCCAACGCTGCACTGGGGCCCCGTCGCCTAACGGGAGGCGTTGAATTTTGGCCGAACTTTCGTAGCGGCGAAGTGGAACTTCAAACTTCAAAACTTCATGTCAGACGTGTAAGATGCCCATGGAACTTCAAAGTTCAAAACTTCATGTCAGTCGTGTAAGATGCCCAGTTGAACTTCAAAATTTAAAACTTAATATCAGTCGTGTAAGATGCCACTTCAGATTTCCCAAAAACATGTCAGTCGTGTAAGATGCCCAGTGGAACTGCAAACTTCAAAACTTCATGTCAGTCGTGTAAGATGCCCAGTGGAACTTCAAACTTCAAAGCTTCATGTCATGTCAGTCGTGTAAGATGCCCATGGAACTTCGATATTCAAAACTTCATGTCAGTCGTGTAAGATGCCCATGGAACTTCAAACTTCAAAACTTCATGTCAGTGGTGTAAGATGCCACTTCAAACTTCAAACTACCATGCCAGTCGTGTAAGATGCCCATGGAACTTCGAACTTCAAAACTTCATGTCAGTCGTGTAAGATGCCCAGTGGAACTTCAAACTTCAGAACTTCATGTCAGTCATGTAAGATGCCCATCGGCGCTACGAAAGTTTTGTCCCGTTTTGTGTTTTCAGCTAAACAACGCCTTAGCATCACATTGGTTATGAACACCACGACGGCCGTGAGCATCACTCCAAAGCTTGAGAGCACCACAGAGCCTATGAGCAGCCGAGCGCCGGTTATCACCTTGACGCTAGCACCCCCGTGGCGGGAGCGCCATTTCGAGTTCGAACGGAACAAATGCCGAACCTCATTTCGCAGGAAGTCCTGTGCGGGGGCGCCATTTCGAAATCGAGGCAGAAAGGTTCCGATTTCTATGTTTGAGGAAGTCCTGCGCGGGAGCGCCATTTCGAAATCGAAGCAGAAAGGTTTCGAATTCTATGTTTGCGGAAGTCCTAGGCGGGAGCGCCATTTCGAAATCGAACCCGAAAGTTTCGAAATCGTTCGAAATCGTTTTGCTTTTTTCGAGGAAGTATCAAGCGAAACCGCCGTTTCGAAAT